TGGTAATGTTGTCTGATTCGGCGGGAATATTAGTGCAGCACTCTTGTCCTACAATGGCACAGGTACCCCCCTTTTCAGCCAACAGAAAATCCAATGCCATCCTATTCTGCAGTGCTACAGTCCTAACCGCCACTAATTCTACTGTAAGTGCAGATGGAGCTTGCTGTGTCTCCCTGAAACCTTCTGCTGTTTCATTTGCTAATTTCTCTAATGCAGAGGCCATATTAATTAACTCTCTGGCTGCTTTTCCAGTTCTGTAGATGGGAAAAGCTATCATCCCAAACCTTTCTGCTTTGGTTATAGCTTTCCTTCGTACATTAGTAATGAAATTGGCTATGCCGTGTACCCAGGGATGTTGAGTTAGAGACTCAAAGTGTTGGACCTGGGGTACAACATATGCTAGGTAACAACAGCCTGTCCACTGCATCGGGAGTCAAGGGTAGGCCTTTACCCTGCATACCCAATATGTTCCATTCAAGGCCCACAGCAGTGTGTGGTTCAGGGTGTTGTTAGAGTCGCAGTGGCTGTTTCCCATAAAGGTAGCGTTAGGGTGGTCTATGCACTCGCTGCCTATTTCAGCAATCGTTATGGTCAGGCTGCGGGGGGGGGGCTAGACTTTCTGACGTATCTAGGTTTGTACCAGCCATCGAAGGTGAGTTCTTGTGATCTGTTCACACAAGGAGGTAACAAAGATTCTCATACCTTACTGCCTTTGGGCGGGTCTCCTATCCAGCAATCCCCGGTTCTAATGCCTGCCTCCTTGTATGATTTTTAAAACGTCTCCAGGCGTACATGTCACTATGGCTAAAAGGGGTTGACCTTAAGGGGATGCCCCCTCCCCCTCCATAGCAAGGGACAAGGGTGCATACCCAGCAAGCAGAGACACTACTTCTATCAGCATACTCGTGAGACAAACGCAGAATGGCATTTACCGCCTTTCCTCTAAGCAGTCCGAAAACATATATCAGTCCAATTGTCACAGCCAGGATTTTACTTCTTCGCATGTTGTGTCTTTTCGTTCTCGGTGATGTTTCCTTTCTTTTCGGGAGGACGTTATTCTCCTTTTTTGTCGTAGTGCAACTTGCAGCTAGTGGCGTGGATCCAGTCGGGTTTCTCCTTCACTTTACCAGCCGTGCGGGTCGTTAGCAGCACCAGGTAAGGGCCTTTCTACCTGGGGGACAAAGAATCTTTATTCATCGATTTCACATATATCCTATCTCCCGGCTTAAACGCATGCACATTACTTTCCTTTAGCGATGCTTGGGCTTGTCGGACTCTTTCATGTAACTTCCCTGTCTCCCGACACAATGTCTGTGCATACTTTAATGTTTTCTCATCATTCCATATTAAAGCTACCCTTTCTGGGGTCATGGGAGGCCTAGTTCCTGTTGTCATAGGTTGTCCCATTAAAATCTCATGAGGGGTGAGGCCCGTTTTTCTATTCTTTTGATTTCACATAGTGTACAGTACTAAGGGTAGGGCCTCTGGCCACTTGAGGTCATTTTGCTGGCAGACCTTTGTTAGGGCCGTTTTTATTTCTCCGTTTATTCTTTCCACTATACCTGAGGACTGGGGCTGGTAGGGGATGTGCAATTTCCATTGAAATCCTAGGGCTTCCTTTAATCCCTGCACCAGTTTGTTGGTGAAATGGGTCCCTCTGTCACTATTTATTCCCACTGGAATACCGAATCTAGGCATGATTTCTTTCATTAATATATTTATCACAGTTCTAGCATCATCCCTCCTCGTTGGACAGGCCTCCACCCATCTGGAGAACGTGTCAACTATTACTAACATATACTTAAACCCTTTCTCAGCAGGCATGTGCTGAAAGTCAATTTGCAAATTTTCAAAAGGCAATTCTGGTTGGGGTAAGTGGTCAAACATAGCGGCTGTTTTTCCTCTATTATTCTGCTGGCATACCAAGCAAGTCCGTGCTACTTTCTCAATGGTTACTGTTATCCCGGGGGCATACCATTGTTGGGTGATAACATGCTGCATCCCTCCTTTGCCCATGTGAGCCTGGCGAGCCAGGGGCAAAAATAGACTACGGGGGCACACCACGCGACCGTCTGGGTGGCGCCATATGGAACCAGATTGATAGCACCCTGCCTTGTGCCAGGTGCTCTGCTCCTGGCGTGAGGTGAGCCTCTGAGCCTCTTCCAATTGTGGCGCTTCAATACACACAGCGAGCTCCCTACCTCCCGATTCAACCCATGGGGCCTGCAGCAATGGAGACTGTCGAACAGTCACTGCCTTCGCTGTTTTGTCAGCAAACCTATTCCCCTTAGAAATGTTATCCCCTGCAGAGTTATGTGCCTCACATTTAATAATCGCTACAACCTGTGGCAGCGCTATGGCTTGTAAAAGATTCAGTACCGGGGGGCATGCTTAATTGGTGTCCCCGATGAGGTGATAAATCCCCTGTTCTTCCACAGTTGCCCAAAGTCATGCACTACCCTGAAGGCATAGCGGGAGTCAGTATAAATGTTTACTGTGTTGTCCTTAGCCAGAATGCAGGCTCAGGTGACCGCAAACAGTTTCGCAGCTTGTGCCGAGGTTCCTTCGGGCAGGGCGTACGTCTCCATTACTTCGTGTGGGGTGACTATGGCATACCCAGCTAACAGTTTGTTGTCTCTTGGGCAGTACGAGGAACCGTCTGTAAACAGAATTAAATCAGGGTTTGTAATGGGCATGCTTAGCAAACCTGGCCGCGGCATAGTGTTAGCTTCGACAGTAAGTAGGCAATCATTTTGGTGCCTTCTGGAGTTGCCAAAGGAATAAAGGTGACAGGGTTGGTGGCTGGGGACCTCTCATATTTATAGTTGGAGCGAGAGAGAAGAATCACTTCATAGCCAGTTCGTCGGGCAGTTGTAAAATGCTGAGTGGAAGCAGAGTTCAGTAACAGCAGAACTGCGGGAAACTCTTACCGTACATGGATGATCCAACACAATGGGGATAGATTTTTCCACCATTACGGCAGTAGCAGCGACCGCCCGAAGACAGGTTGGCATGCCCATCATGACCGCGGGGAGCGTCGCGGAATAATAAGCCACTGGATGCCTCCCTCCCCCGTGCTCCTAACACAGGATACCCATGGCGAAACCTTGCGATTTGTTCACCTATAGTTGGAATGGCTTGCTATAGGTCGGGAGGCCTAACGTCGGTGCACTGATCAGTGCGTGCTTTAACTCCTTAAATGCCTTATCCCTGTCAACTGTCCATTCAACTGCAGCCAGTTTGTGTTGCAGTGTGGCGGCTCGCAACACCTCGTCTGGCTCCCTATACTCAGGGATCCATTGCCGACAGTATCCTACCATGCCCAGGAAAGAAAGGATACCATTTTTTGTCTTAGGGGTTGGGACTTGCTGAATGGCACTTATACGATCCTCCCCCAGTCTCCTCCACCCTTTTCTGATGTGAAACCTTAAATACTGTACGGTCTCCTGGCAAAATTGCATTTCCTCCAGGGACACCCTATGTCCCCGGTTGGCTAGATGTGCCAGAAGGGTTAAGGAGTCAGCCAGGCACTGAGGGCCTGTGGTGGAGGTGAGCAGGATATCGTCCGCGTATTGGATGATAGCGGAATATTCAGACAAGTGGCACTCGTCCAGGTTATGTTTAACAGCTGCGGCATAAGCTGCTGGACTTTCAGTATACCCTTGCGGCAGATGTGTCCATGTATACTGCTGGTTTTTATAAGTAAATGCAAACAGATACTGGCTGTCTTTGTGTAAGGGAATAGAGAAGAATGCTGAACACAGGTCGACTACCGTAAAGGCGCTGGCCTCCGCAGGAATAGCCGTCAGTATAATATTGGTATCGGGCACCAACGGCGCAATGGGGATCACTATCTTCTTGATGGCCCTTAAGTCCTGCACAAACGGAACTCATTTTTCCGACCTGATTTCGGAATGGGCAGTATAGGGGTGTTACATGGACTCTGTGTCTTCATTATTACCCCTTGTTGCAGAAGGGTAACCCTGTGCTCTGGTGTGGTTTGGACCTTTCCCACATGATTTTTTGTGCCGTGCCCATAGATTTACTGGCAACTGTGCTCGGGCTGTAGGGAGGAGAAGAGCATCCTCTTTTGGTGGTTGCTGCCTTTCAAAAATGGCTCCCCTGACCTGAGGGCGTACAGCAATCCTCCCCTCCCTGTCGTTAAAGAACTCAATGCGCGTTCCTTGTCCCAACACGGGCAGGGCTGTAGTGCAGATGATCTTAGTTTCGGCTACCATGCGTTTTATCATCGTCCCGATATCTCTAGGTTTCGCCGGTGGCTTCATGGCTACTGTCAAGTGGGGCATTGAGGAATCTCCCATTTTAAACCTTTCTTCCTAATCATCTACTAGTTCCACAAGAACACCAAAGCCTTTGGGACCAAAGTAAATGTACCGTGTCGTTTTCAACTTTTCTTTTCTGTTCAGATAAGGGTGTATCAATTTATTGTAAAGTGGGTCTGCCTGCACAGTATAGTAGGCTGTGCAGTGGACTCTGTTCTTTTCCCGACTGGTGCTGATTAAAAAACACAAATTCTGGGCTTAGGGACTCGCGAAATTCTGCAGAGCATTCTGCTTTTGCTGGAGTCCTGAGGTATAGGGGTTGCCATCCAGCTGCCAACAGTATAATATAGGCCCTGTATCTCCTAATTTTGGCTCATTCATCAATCTCAACATTTGGGGAACCCTAATTTGGGGAAGCTCCATATATACACCTTCGGTCGTACAATGTAATGTGGCTCCCAGTTTACAAAGAGTTTGTCGGCCCTGTAGGGGGAGCGGGGCTGTCTTAGAAATAATAAAAATATCTGTAACATCTCTTTCCTTTATTTTCAATTGAGCTGGCAAGAAGAGGGGTTCCGCCAGCTATCCCCACGGTTTCAACTAGGCGGCCACTTTCTAGGACGTCCGCAGAGGGGGATACAGAGGATATGGTGGCACCGGTATCGATCAGATAGTTTATTTTCTAATTTAATAGTAGTCATAGGCTCCTCCCTCATCGTTTTGGACAGTCTGATGATGGTCGCCTGTACCACCCTCCCCTCGCGGCACCTCTATGACGATGGATTTGGGTGACTAAAAGAGAAAGGGAGCATCTCCCCTCCCCTCAGGTCCTGGCCTCGTCCTGATCTACATTCCCGGACCCAGTGACCCTTCCTTCCACAATTGTTACACTGGTCTTGGGATTTATCTCGAGACCACTTTTGTCTCCTTCTGCCCCCTCCTCTCCCATTGGCCTGGGGATATCCTCCTTGTCCCATCGTGTCGGGCTTGCTTTCCTCCTGGGAAACGAAAAGGCCCTGTCTGTCCATATTCATTAATGAAGTGACCACTTTTCCCCATTGTTGATTCTGCCAATTTAGCTTTGCCAATTTGTAAGCCTTTGCCTGGTGGGGTGGCATACAGTTTAGTAAGGTTTGAACTGCCAGTGGTCCAGTCTCCAAAGGAATACCTGCATGTTCTTCCCATTTACTTCTATACCTAGCTGTAAAATCTGGGATAGAGTCCTCTTTTTGCTGCAGGCAGCGGGCTACTTCCCCTATATCACTATGTTTTCGCGCTTCTCCCATTATAGCTTCCTTCCCTCTATTCTCTAGCCAGTGAGACAGAGACTCATTCCCGATTGCAAGTTGGTCATCATTTGGTCTCCAATCTCCGTTTTCACTGGGGGGAATAGTGAATCCCTCTTTTAGAGATGACCACGAATTTCCATATGCACATTTCAGTAGCACCTGCACATCCCCGGGGAGAGGGGAGTAGATCATACATATTTGTACCAGCCAGTTATGAAAAGCATTGGGTCTCTTCAAAGGGTCTGGGGCTTCAGACACCATGGCTCGGGCTTCTGCTGGAGTCCAGGGTTTTAGTATAGGAACACCTCCAATCATAATACGGGGAGCTTGTAAAACCTCCTCCTCCCCTCTTGTCTTATCCGTGGCTTTTCGGCTAGGCCGTCTTCGGAAGTCGCTAGTGCTACTAACTGTCGACTCGGATTCCCCTGTGCTCTGGGATTCCTCGCTTTCACCGACAGCCTCCTGTGCCAAGGGGCCCCGGTAGGGTGGGGGTAGGGCTGCAGCCCACCAGGGGGAGGGGCGCTAGCCAGGGCAGGAAGGCGGGGATATAATCCCACTCCCGGGGGATTGGTTTCTACCGCCTTTTTAGCCACTGACTCTATTTGGTCTTTTTTCTTGGGGCGTTTTGGTGGCTGGTGTCTTCTTGCTACTTCTTTCTAACTTTTAAAACACCCCAACATATAGTCCACATCCCAATGTGGGTCGCCGTCCCCTTCTCGCGTGACATTCTCCCAAGTTTGAATTAGTTTTAAATTGAAGCTTCCTCCATAAGGCCATTGTCCATCCGACCACCCATACAAATCACTACTAAAGATAACCGCATACCGATCATATCCGCTTTCTTTAACTACAGTATCGGCTGGGGATCCTGGTGGGACTAAGGGGTCCCCCAATAGTTGTCACTGTTTCTTAACTTTCTTTATCTTTTTTAAAGTTTTCTGTCCTACCTTCAACAGTCCGTCATTTTTACCTCCAGCGTTCCTCCGCTTGTCAGCAGGACCAGCATTACCTGATCAACTGCTTCTGTTCCCCATCTTCTCTTCTCGGCTTTCTCTCCTCTACCTCTTTCCTGTGAAAGTAAAGGTTATACAAAACATTACTACTCTATAACCCCCCTTATTTACACTGAGCGCTCACCGGTTTCCCTGCTTTGTTGCGGGCCCTGCAGTCGAGTTATCATTCACCTTAGTTGAGATGTCTGAGTCTGATTTCCCTTAGCCCCCAATTCTTCCGAGCCCTCACCCTGTTCTTCAGCCTTCGGGCGTCTTGGCAGTTTTCTCGGACTAGGTTACCGGCCGGGCAGTCTTTCTCAGACTGCGGGGCAGCCTGGAACAATCCCCCTTTGAGCTAGGATTTGCTTAGCTTGGTCCCCCTTTCAGCTAGGACCGGCACAGATCTGTCCCTCTCCTTGTTGGACAGTCTAGGTTTCAGACTCTAGTGTCTCCACTCAGGTGATTCCATGGGAATCCCCTTCTGTGGGATCCTGCCGACTACGCCAAATTCTCGTAGAAATTTTTATTTCTACTTAACTGATAATGAGACTTGACTCCAGCTCCCGTTCGAAGCAGTTTATTTTCTTACTTGGTACCAAGGAAAGTGAGTGTCGATCTCCACTGACACCCGACTCTGCCAATACAGAGTATAACAATCTCATTTATACAATTAACTTCAAGGCGGGGTGTTCCCGTGACATCTTGTGTTTGTTGATTCATTCGTTGTAAGTTTTAAAGAAAACAGACACTGCTGGAGATAACAGGAATGCTGTCTTACAGATACCTTAATAATTACTTCTCCAAATGACCTTCGGCCTGCAGCTGGCATAGGGAGTGACATACAGTTTGATTGAAACTCTAGCTTATCAGTAACTGGGCTCCTTGGGAATATAAGGGACATCTCTACTTCAGCCTAAAACCTTGGTATAGTAACAATATATCAAGAGATCCGCCTCTAACTCTAGCTAAGATAACATGCACATAGTGATAACACAGTCTGAGTAACTACCCACCGACTTCTGCTAAGCTTATTAAATTCCCACATGCTAGACTAATTAAAATTCTTTCTCTATGCCATTAGTTTCTCCCATGGCTACCTTTTCTGTCTTGGCCTAAATTCCCAACTACCCTTGCGATGTAATTTCTGTCTTTCTCTGAATTCCCATCTACCCTTGCAATGTAAAATTTTTCTTCCACACACGGGAAATGGGGAGGGGGCAGGATTTGAAGTCTAAACTAAGCCACAATCACGTTGACTGGTGTAACAGACTGAATGGGCAGGTCTTCTGCTCCAATTTGCTGGGTTCTTGTGTTCATTACTTGAACCAATTACCAATCCGTTTCGATTTGGTTCCATGAAAACTTCTGTCATTTAATCTCTGCAACCTCCGCCCTTTAACAGACAATCCCCTTCTTTCTTCAGCATTACTCCGTTCCAATTGCTGAAAAAGTATATTTTTCTAACTTCCCTCAGTTCTGCTAAAAGTTGCCCATAACCCAAAGGCTAACCTCTCCCCTGCCCAATCCCACCACACCATTCCCTTCTCTCTCTCAATGCTGTCTAACTTGGTCAGATTTTTCAATATGGCTTGCTTTATTTCAGAGGCAGTGAGTCTATCTTTCCATCTTTCTGTGACAGGATACATTCTCCAATCCAACTCATTGCTATTCTGTTTCTTCACAGATAGAGGAGGTACTATAAAGGGATGTGCGAGATATTATGAACCAAGGGCCTTATATAATGCATCGGTTGGAACATGCATACCTGGGTGGGTGGGTGGGTGGGGAAGGACCTGAAGAATGATAGAAAGTATTTTAATGCTTGGTTCATAGTATCTCCAGGTAGAGACATAGTATGTCTACAGCCTGCAGGTAGAGCTGCTAGATATGTGTCAAAAAAAGGAAGTGGAAAAGACGGATGGATGGATGCGCCTTCGGCTTGGTGCCCCTCTCCATGGCCGACAGGTTACACAATATGAAAAGGAGAAAAATAGTTGTGTGTGGGTTATGAGGAAGTTGAGGGGCGGCGCGGTTTTATTGTTGCATGTGTCTTCCTTCTGCTTTGCCCACACCACATACTTTTCCCTCTCCTACAGCCTCGAAGGAATTGAAATGCCCAGTCCTTACAGAGGGAACCAGTTAATGGAATGGCATTGTTAAACAAAAGTGAGATATTGTATGATAACGTAAAGCATGAAATTGTACCCATCCTGATCAATATCTCAGGCATCCACATGCCAGAGGATTGCTCAGTTTAGTTGAAACAAATGTCTAACATGTTAATCAGTGTAATGGTGCACCAAGCTGCTCATGCCATGGGAACCACCAAGTATAGGGGATGCCGTAATTTCACTAGGCACAAGAGGGAGATATTGAATGGCATTGTTACAGGGGTCAATACTGGGTTTTCTGTAGTCAGTTGGACATAAAAGGTGTGAATGAGAACGTGCAGAGGCTTAGAAAATCATGGAAGAATTAATAGTGCGAGTTGAGGAAGTTCAGAAGGACCAGGCAGGGCTAAGTCAGAAAGCTGTGAAGATACAGTTAGATGGGGTGTCTGTGATGGAGGAACATGCTACAACAATTAATCGTCTAATTGACACAGAACGAGAGGATACTGAACAGGAGTATACACTGACTCATCACACACCCCAATTTCTCCTTCACCACCCCCGGGTTACTATTAGCCGAGCTCAAATGATACACATCAAACAGCAAGAACTAGAAGAGCTCACGGTATCTGATGTGTCCCATGAGAATCTCATAGAGTGTGAAGAAACAGAAGCAGTCCCTAATCCACACTTAAGGAAACAACTGAGGGAAATTAGACAGAGGGTAGGTCAGACAGTGAGATTCTACCATCAGTTACAAAAAAAGCTAAAAATTCTTGAGGAGGATACATGGCTAATCCACCTACTGCTGTAAATTTAGCATGGTCGATCCACCTAACCTGCACATCTTTGTACTGATCCTTATTGGTGTCCAGTGACCTCCCTGGGTTAGAAAGAGGTAATCAGCTACGGTTCCTGCTCCTGATCACTTGGGTTAGAGACAGAGGAGAAATCACCAGCATTCCTGCTCCTGATCACTGCCCAGTGATCCCCTGAGTTAGAGAGAGGAATCAGCCAGGGTTCCTGTTCCTGATCACTGCCCAGTGATCTACTGGGTTAGAGAGAGAGGAATCAGCCAGGGTTCCTGCTCCTGATCACTGCCCAGTGATCCATTGGGTTAGAGAGAGAGGAATCAGCCAGGGTTCCTGCTCCTGATCACTTGCCCAGTGATCCACTGGGTTAGAGAGAGAGGAATCAGCCAAGGTTCCTGCTCCTGATCACTGCCCAGTGTCTTCCTGCTGGAACTGAATCTGAACACCAGCAGGGTGAAGGACATCCTGGTTAAATATGAGAGACAGGCTTCACTTCAATGGGAGAAAGGATTGGCAACTTTGACCTCGTGAACACACTGTGCAATGGTGACGAGTATAAAGCTGTGACTCTGTGTTTCTGTGAAAGGGGTAATGTGTGAATTGTCCTGTGACAAATAAAGTGTCAAACACTCTCTTCTGCCATGTGTATTCAATTTCTTCAAGCAGCACCTTGCACCAGGACAGTTATAGCATGGGGTTAGATACAGTATAGCGCTCCCTCTACATATGCCCCCCCACAACTTTATACCCATTGTCAGCATTGAGCACTCCCAGTATGGGTACAGCATGGGTTAGATACAGTGTAGAGTTTTCTCTACATTGCCCTGACGGTGAGTCGCTGAGCATAATAATACAGCAGGGAAGCAGACCCTTAGGTCCAGCACGTCCATGCTGACAGATATCCTAAATAAATCCAGTCGCATTTGTCAGCATTTGGCCCATATCCCTCTAAACCCTTCCTATTCACATACCCATCCAGATGTCTTTTAAATGTTGTAATCTTACCAGCCTCCACCACTTCTTCTGGCAGCTCATTCCATACACACACCACCCTCTGTGTGAAAAAACTGCCCCCAGGTCCCTTTTAAATCTTTCCCCTCTCACCTTAAACCAATGCCCTCTTGTTTTGAACTCCCCTACCCTGGAAAAAGAACCTTGGCTATTCACCCTATGCATGCTCTTCATGATTTTAAAAGTCTCTGGAGGTCACCCCTTGGCATCCAACGCTCCAGGGAAATTAGCCCCAACCTATTCAGACTCTCCTAATTTATACCCAGTGGCAGTATCGAGTGCTCCCAGGACAGATACAGCACCAGGATAGATATAGTGTAGACCTCTCTCTACATGACTCTGATAGGGTGACTGTGCTGAGAATGTTGTACTGGGCTTTGCAGGACAGAGCCAAGTTTCTGATTAAAGCAGGTTTGGGCCTCAACAAACTGGGGCCTAACCAGATACTGGGGCTAATGTGTGGAGCTCCTTTGTGCTCTAATGACATGTGCCCCTTCTCATGGTCAGTTGAACCATAGATTTGATGCCATAGGGAATTTGGTGACACTGGGGATCAATGGTTTGATCTGGAGGCACACAATCCAATTGTCTTAAGCCCCAGGGTCTCACAGAGTCAGAGGATTACAGCATGGAAACAGCCCTTCGGCCCAATTTGCCCTTGCCACCAGTTTTCACAATTAAACTAGTCCCATTTGCCTGCTATTGGACCATATCTCCCCATATCTCATCCATGTACCTGTCCAAATGTTTCATAAATGATGAAATTTTACTCACATCCACCATTGCCTCTGGCAGCGTGTTTCTGATACTCACCACCCTCGGTGTGAAATAATTGCTCCTCTGGATCCTTTTGCATCTCTTCCCTCTCATCTTAAACTGATGCCCTCTAGTTTTAGTTTCCCCTAATATGCGGAAAGTCATTTGGCTATCTACCTTATCTATGACTTTAATGATTTTATAGACCCCTATAAGGTTGCCCCTCTGTCTCCAATGCTCCAAGGAAAAAGTTCAAACCTATCTAGTCTCTCCTTATAACTCAAACCTTCCAGTCCACGTACCATCCCAGTAAATCTTTTCTGCACTCTTTCTAGTTTAATAATATCCTTTCTCTTGTGGGACAACCAGAAGTGCATGCAGTACTCCAAATGTGGCCTTGTACAGGACAAGACATCCCTACTCCTATACTCAGTGTTCTGACCAATGAAGGCAAGCATGCCAAAAGCCTTCTTCACCACCCCGTCTACCTGTGACTCAACTTTCATGGAGCTATGTACCCCTAGATCTTGTTGTTCTATAACGGTCCCCAGGGCCCCACTACTGACTGTGTAAGTCCTGCCATAGTTTGACCCACCAAAATGCAACAGCTCACATTTATCTAAATAAACTCCATCTGCCATTCCTCAGCCCAGTGGCCCAGTTAATCAAGATCATAGAATCCCTACAGTATGGGAACAGACCTAAAGCCCAACAAGTCCACGCTGACCCTCAATGCATCCCACCCAGACCCATCCCCCTATACCCACCCCTGAACACTACAGGCAATTTGGCATGGCCAATCCACCATAACCTGCGCATCTTTGGACTGTGGGAGGTAACCAGAGCACCCAGAGGAAACCCACACAGACATGGGGAGAGTGTGCAAACTCTGCACAGACAGTCACCCAAGGGTGAAATCGAGCCCAGGTCC